AACCTGGCCAATCTACAACGGCCTTGACCTTAGCGGGATCCGCTCGAAGGCCACGCTTCCCAATGAAGCGCCCTCAAAAGGTAATCTCTTCTGCGCCAAAGATGCACTTGTCTGTATTGGCGTACAATTTGTTAGTGCGCGTGCACTCAAGCACCGCTCTTAGATGTACGATGTCATCCGTCCTCCTGTGCTCTGCACGACTGTGAACGAAAATGTCGTCAAAGTATGTTTGTGCATACGCCCTGTGGGGCCTGAACAATTGCGTCACAAGACGCCTAAATGTTGCTGGTGCATTTGACAGCCCTTGGGGCATCACCAGCCACTCCCAGAGCATACCGCTCGGAGTGCTCACCGCTGTCAGCGGAATATCACTTCTCTCATGAGCAATTGGTAATACCCATCGGCCAAGTCGAGTGCACTGTTCTTTGTACATTATCAATGTTGTTCTGAAGAAGATCCTTTCTAGGAAGCGGCGTTTGTGCCGGAATGGTGGCAGCGTTGAGCTTATTGTAAGCACAAAAGATACGCCACTTGCCGTTCGGCTTTCGGACACAAAACGTGGGTGTCGAATGGGAAGACTTGCTCTCACGCACAATCCCTGCGTCGTGCTTCGCACGGAAAAATGCGAAAATGACGTCGCACTGCTCCTTGGGCAGGGGCCATTAGCGTGTTACGCAGTATTTGGTGCCCGGAACCAGGTCGATCTCATGACGCACACCTCGGTCCGGAGGTAAGACGAAGGCGGGTCTTTGTAGACGTCTTGAAATTCCTTTACCAAAGGATAGTACGGATCCAAGAGATTTCGTAGGATCTACAATCCACTTCGTGCGTTAAGCACTCTCTTGGTGTCCTCCAAGACACCTTCATCCAGAAGCGATGACAAGTTTATCTCCTTGTCCGGTCGTACAATGACCGCTTCGGCCAAATCACCTGCCTTTAAGGCACTGCCGAATTCTTCTAGGGACATCTCGTCCAGCTCAAGAAGAGCATCTATTGCAGGTATTGGCTCGAGGCGAACGTCGCCATCTTCCTCTCCCGTCATACCGTTGACGAGGGTGTATATCTGTGCGCCATCGTCTACGGCAGACGCACCCTGGTCAGGGTTGACGCCCGGCGTCTTGCAGCCAGCATACGGCGTCGCCGTCGCCTCTGTATAGATGTTCTATGTCTCGGTGAGACCAGGGTGAACACGCACTCCGCGTCGTCCGGTGTCACC